GGAGGGCCGCAGAGGCCGGCGCCCATTGGACGAGCCTCCAGTAACGGCCCTCGAAGGAAGGCCGCGCCCGGGGTGGCCCCCTGCCCAAACGTCCGCGCTGGGGCACGTCCCTCCAGATGTCCCCACGGAGGCGGCTGCCACCTGTAGCGGATGTCTGCCCCAGCTGGGTGCCCCCAGGGTGCCCTCTGAGTGTCAGCGGTGCTTTGCCTTCGTGGGGGCTGGTCTGGCGACCTGGCTGCCTTTCAGGGTCCCTCAGTCTGCTGACAAGACTCATTTTCTAGGGCAGTGAGGCCGAGGTCCCTTCTAGCTGGAGGCTGCGGCAGGCTCTGCAGGCCCGGGCCCTGGGCCGTGCACACGGGGCAGTGCCTTTATGACACAGCGTGATCCGGCACCTTCACCAAAGTCTGTCGGGTCCACAGTCTGGGGTTCAGCACTTTAGGGGAGGAGACCGCACACAGGCTTGGCCACCAGGAGGCGGGACTTACTAGGGCCACCCTAGGGCTGGCCCACACAAGCTGCCAGGGGCAGCTGGACAACCCAGTCACCATCTGCTGCGCAGTTTCCAGGAGCCTGCGGCCCAGCCTGACCTCTGCCCCATTGGGCATGGGTGCCCAGCGGCAGGGATGCCCGTGCTGTGCATCGGTAGCAGTGGCCCCAAGAAAATTATTTTTTTAAAAGTCTTATTTTATTTAAATGCTTCTCCGAGTCACTGCCAATGCCACTGTACAGGGGGGCATGCTTCATCTCTTGGTCTCTCCGGTCTCTCCCTCCTTGGAGAGGGTCCTTAGGGTCTCTTCCTGCGTGCTTCCTTGGTCAGACCTGCGGGCGGCTGCCTGGGCTGCCTTCTGCTGCAGACGTGCTCCATGAAAACCTGCTGGCTGCCTTATGTGTCCCCTCGGCCGTCAGGCAGTGGCTGTGACCGCGTGGCAGTCGGTTCTTGGACATCGGCAGCTGCTCCAGGCCACCTCTGGCTGTGCCCTTCCGCTCCCCTGTGCCCATGTGCCCACCCTTCTGGCGAGCCACGGAGTCTTTCTGGCCTTAAGCCTGGGAATGGACAGCCACAGGCTTGCAGGTGGACAGCTCGTCCTTGGTCAGCTCCCAGACCTGACGGGAGTTGGCACCGGCAGTTTCATGAGTTTTCCTGGGGTCCCACCAGACCACCTGTCTGTCCCAGCAGAGGACAGTAGAGGCCAGCTTCTTCTGAAGCCTGGGCATACTCATGGCTGTGGCCACAGCGGCGAAAGGAAAATTCTTTAACTGTGACACCATCTTACTGTTTCAAAACCTCTATTAATCACTAAAATCCTGATCTGGGTTCTAGACCGGGCCATGGTAGTTTCCGGGGAATGCTGCCTCTGGGGTTAGAGTGGCAGAAAGGTGAAGGCCATGGCACAGCCCCCACTGGGGGCCTGACCCCAGCCAGGGTGCTGAGCCCTCCCAACCTCCGAGCAGCTGACAGGCCTCAGGTGTCTGCTAGGCCAGGCCTCGAATGCACTGGATCTGCTGTGAGCATAGCCTTCCCGCCCCGGCATGAACTTGTGGATGACCACAAGGGGCCCAGAGTGTTGCTCCCTCCCCTGGCCCACTGGCGGGCACCCGAGTGTCTGCTCTCCACGTTCCTGGACACCCAGGCTGCTCTGGGCTGCAGAGCCCAGCCCCTCTGCAGACCCAGGGTGGCCTTCCCAAGAGTGCACGAGGTGTGGAGAGGGAGTGGCTGCTCAGTGTCTGGGCTGGCCCCACGGCCTGTGTCACTAGCTGGCTTACCGCTGGGTCTGGTTAGCAGCTCAGGGCAGGCGGGGAGCCTGTGCAGGGTGCTGGGGGGTGCTGGGGTCGTAGCTCAGGTTTGTGTGGGCTGGCTGCCCCTTCACTGGCCCAGAAAACAGAAGGATCCACATACTGCAGTAGCAATGGGGCATAAAGGGGGACATAAAGGGTGCTGGCGCCACCACCCGCTGCAGGACGTGTGGCCCAGCCTGACACACCGGCCCACATCGCCCTCAGCTGCGTTGGCTTGGCCTGAGCAGAGCCCGTCTCCAGGGAGCACTGGTCTGGCCGGTCCCGATTCTGCTGCAGGCGCAGGCTGTGTGTGTGGTGGGGCGGCACCTTCATTCCTCTGCAGTCCGATGTTTGCTCTGTGCTGGGGACACAGGCAGCCAGGCAGGTGACACATCCTCAGGTGGCACCGCCTCAGGCCGAGACAGGATGCAGATGGAAGCGCCCTGGCGTTTCCTCAGGCAAAGCCTGCCAAGCCCTGTGACCTGGCCCGCCCACTCCCCCCACAGGAAGCCTGCCACAGGGCTGTTGCTCCTGCTTTATTCATGTGACTTGGGAAGTAGGGGAGCCCCTTTCCTGATAGGTCACCCCAGGCACCCAGGATGGGCCAGACTGAGCCACATCCCCCTGAACTGCCAGCGATGAAGAGATGTCATTACCCGTGGCCCTGCCCGAGCTTCTGCGGTTTCCAGGCTCAGCGGCAAGTGGTCTTTAACAAGACGTTTCCAGGGAGCGTGTACAAAACACCCCCTCTGGGTCTGTCATTTCCGGATTTGGGGCGCGCACTTACTGCCTCCAGTGTGTCTTCAAGCTGCCAGGTGCAGGAGCGCCTTGAAGTGGGTATGCTGCAGGGCATGCGAAAGCTCCAAACCAGGCGTGACCTCCTGCTGGGCCGTGTTAACAGGATGGGGTCTGCCATCCACCCGGCTCAGACAAACTAGCCGCTAACCTCAGCTGGCCAGAGAAGGCCAGGAGAGGCTCGTTTAGAACCACGGGTGCTCGCGGCTGCCCTCTGGAAGAACGAGCACAGGGCCTCGGGCCTGCGGCGCTCTCCGTTCTCTGGCAAATGCCCGGGGAGACGCTCAGCCGCCTGGCCCCTTTCGTCAGTTCTGTCCTTTCTCAATCCACGGCCCTTCCACCACGCCCCCCCCCATCTCCTTGCCCTCGGGCCAGGGCAGCCGGAAACAGGACTAGACACATAGCCGGCCACGTGGGAGCTGGCCCCCTTAGCCACTAGGCTATGCGCCCTGCCCCAGCTGGCATTTTAACAAGCAAACCCTCGTTTGCAGCGGGAGCTGCCTGGCAGGCGACACGTGGCTTGAATGTCCCTGCTGTGCGCCATGACCGCAGCCCCAGCTCTGCATCCTCTTCCAGGCAGCTTCCAGTGAAGCTTCGACCTTCTGTGCAGGGTGTTCACAAAACCCGTGTGCTCCGTACAGATCGGACCCCCACCACCCACATGCTTGTGGGGTGACTGCCCACCGCTGCTGGCCAGCTGTGTGGCCCAGACCTGAGTTGGACCTGAGCAGCTCGGCAGCGCCTGGGGGGCAGAGGGGCCTGTGCAGACAGGAGGGCCTCCCGTGGGGAGCTCCTGCCCCTCTGCAGGGGCCCTCGAAGCGCAGTGGGCCTAACAGGGACCAGCAGCCTGACCAGGCAGCCTTTTCCAGCCTCTGCTGAGGCCGCCGCATGGCCTGCACCCTTGGCCTGCCTGCCCCACCCCTTCCTAGTTCTGGACTCCTGTGGGGTCACGGCTCCAGGGCAGGACCAGGCTCCAACAGGCCTGATGCAGGGGCTGACCCTATGGGAGGGCTGCACGGTGGAGATGCCTGGGTGACAGGAACCCCAGCCTACCCTCTGCCAAGAGGCGGGCGGGGACCACTCTCCTCCCATCTCCCAAGGTGGCTCCTAGAAGTCCCAACACCCTCCTCTGCCCCCTGGCCAGGCCTGAGTGCAGGGGGTGGGCGTGCTGTTTGTGGTGCTCAGGCAGCCACCCTCCCAGACGTCACCTCGGAGCAGACGGGCCACCAGCACCAGCCTTGAGCCAGGATCCCAGGGTGTGCGGGGTGGCACCGAAGAGGTTGTGGGTTCGTCCTGGCTCTGCAGAAGGGGGACCGTGGGCCTTAGAGCAGCTGGTCGAACTGCAGAGTGGACTGGGAGGGCAGTGGCCCCCATCGCGCATGCAGGACACAGGACACTTTCTGTGCCGGGAGGCTGAGCGCCTGGGCCCAGCACAGACCACTGCCGGCTGGCCCCTTGGCTGCAGCCGCCCGGCCGGGGCGGCCAGGG